ATCTTAATGGCTCGCTGGCGTTACTTCTCAACTGCTCCTTCTGGCAAAATGCCATCCCGACCTGGCTGTGGCTCCCAACAGCCAACATCATTCTAAATGGAGAAAAATTGAAGGCGTTCCCTTTAAAAATCAGAACAAGACAGGGATGCCCTCTTTCACCACTTCTATTTAACATAGTTCTTGAAACACTGGCCAGAGCAATTAGACGGATGAAGGAAATTAAAAGGATACACATAGGAAAAGAATAACTCAAATTGGCACTATTTGCTAATGATATGATTCTATACCTATAAGATCCTAAAGATTCCATCAGAAAACTTCTAGAACTAGAAAATGAATTAAGCAAAGTAGCAGGATATAAAATCAAAGGCATTTCTGTATATCAATGATAAATCCTCAGAAATGGAAACAGGAAAACTACCCCATTTTCAATAGCCTAAAAAAAAATAAAATACTTGGGAATCAACAAAAGAGGTGAAAGATCTATATAATGAAAATTACAGAACCCTAAAGAAAGAAGTCAAAGAAGACCTTAGAAGATGGAAAGATCTACCTTGCTCTTGGATAGGCATAATTAATATTATAAAAAATGATCATACTTCCCAAAGCACTATATAGATTTAATGCAATTCTTATCAAAATCCCAATGACATTCCTCATAGAAATAGAAAAAGCAATCATGAAATTCATCTGGAAAAATAAGAGACTCAGAATAGCCAAAGCAATCCTTAGCAGGAAGAGGGAAGCAGGTGGCATCACAATATCAGACCTTAAACTACTACAGAGGAACAGTAACAAAAATAGCATGGTATTGGCATCAAAACAGACTGGTAGACCAATGGTACAGAATAGAGGACACAGAGACTAATCCACGAAATTACAATTATCTTATGTTTGACAAAGTGCCAAAACATGCACTGGAAAAAAGATAGTCTCTTCAACAAATGGTGCTGGAAAAACTGGAAATCCATATGCAACAAAACGAAATTAAACCCCATCTCTCACCATGCACAAAACTCAACTCAAAATGGATCAAGGATTTAGGAATAAAACCAGAGACCCTGTGTCTATTAGGAGAAAAAGTAGGCCCTAATCTCTATCATGTGGGATTAGGCCCCAACTTTCTTAATAAGACTCCTATGGAGCAAGGATTAAGATCAAGAATTGTGGGGCCGAAAACTAACTTGGCGCCTGGCTAAATGCCAATAGGAGGACACTGAAGTTGTTTTGAAACCTCCCTGATTGGCTTACTTCTCTTTCATGCTTGTGCACAGCTCGTGCTCTTCATTGGAAATTATGGTATGGGTATACATGTGAATTTCTCCTGCTGACTTGACCTTTATGTTGATTGGTTCCCGCTTTTCCATGTTTTAAAATGATTGGCTTTTACTCCTTATATGAGTTGTGTGTGCTTCCTCAATAAATGAGATACTGCTTTGACTGGTCTCCCTGGCGCTTCTGATTGTCCTCTGGTGGGGAGGGCTGGGTGGGCAGCCGGCCGACCCTCACCTTTCTTGATCAGGTTGGGGCATGCTCTCCTAAGCCTCTCTGCAGGACAGAGTGGATAGAAGAAGCTAAAAACCCCAACAAAGAATCAATAAATGGGATGGACTCAAACTAAAAAGCTTTCTTTTCAGCAAAAGAAACAATATGTGAGGTGAATAGAGAGCCTACATCTTGTGAACAAATCTTTACCTCTCACACATCAGATAGAGCATTAATCTCTAGGGTATATAAAGAACTCAAAAAGCTAAGCACCAAAAAAACCCAAATAACCCAATCAATAAATGGGTCAAGGACCTGAACAGATACTTCTCAGAAGAATATATACAATTAATCAACAAATATATGACAAAATGTTTATCATCACTGACAATTACAGAAATGCAAATCAAAACCTCTCTAGGATTTCATCTCACTTCAGTTAGAATGGAGACTATTTTGAAGACAAACAACAATAAGTTTTGGTGAGGATGCAGGGAAAAACACTGATACACTGTTGATAGGACTGCAAATTGGTGCAGCCAATATGGAAAGCAGTATGGAGATTCCTTGGAAAGCTGGGAATGGAACCACCATTTGATCCAGCTATTCCTCTCCTTGGTCTATACCCAAAGGACTTAAAAACAGCATACTACAGGGACACAGCCACATCAATGTTTATAGCAGCACAATTCACAATAGCTAAACTGTGGAACCAACCTAGATGCCCTTCAATAGATGAATGGATAAAAAGTATGTGGCCTATATACACAATGGAATATTACTCAGCAACAGAATAGAATAAAATCATGGCATTTGCAGGTAAATGGATGGAGTTAGAGAAGATAATTCTAAGTGAATTTAGCCAATCCCCCAAAACCAAATGCTGAATATTTTCTTTGATATAGGGAGACTGATTCATAGCGGGATAGGGAGAGGCACATGGGAGGAATAGACAGACTCTAGATAGGGCAGAGGGGTTGGAGGGGAAGGTCAGGGTCATAGGGTTATAAATGATGGTGAATGTGATGATCATTATTATCCAACATACATGTAGGAAGACACGGATTGATGTGAATATACTTTGTATACAACCAGAGATATGAAAAGCTGTGCTCTATATGTGTAATAAGAATTGTCATGCATTCCACTGTCATATATAAATAATAAAAAAGAAATAAACCGAGCTGGGTTTGTGGCTCAGTAGCAGAGTGCTCGATTACCATGTGTGAGGCACTGTGTTCGATCTTCAGCACCACATTAAAATAAAGATATTGTGTCCACGTATAACTAAAAAATAAATTTTTTTTTTTTAAAAAAAGAAGAGTCTCAAATTCATGACTAAAGAAAATTGTGTCCTTTAGCTGCTTCTGGTAGTGCTTTCCTCCAATGCACTGTGTGACAACTTTCAGTGTCACTCTGCTGGCTCTGCCTCTTTGGCCATTTCTTAGTCTCCTGAATGAGCATTTTATTCCCATACCACTCTTGAGTACCTGTGGCCTCTGGACTCTTATTTGATGTTTTCCCCTCCTGGGCCAGTTCATCACTTCTGTGGCTTGCTGTTTCCTGCATGCGGGGCTCACCCACCTTCACTCTTCCAGAAGTCCTCTGACCTCCTTCAGATCCATGGGTGTCAGGACCCCTCTGCCACATGCACTGCTGGTTCCTTGCACACAGTAGGATCACACCAATCTCTCCTGTCTGTCACCTTATTCATTCCTATAGTATGTGTGTTCTCTCCTTACTGTGTTCTCCAGCCCTGAGAACTCCTCTGTCCTGGGCATCCAGACTGGATTCTGTTTTCAAAATGCACTGTGTGTATTTTACTAACACACTCAGTAGATTCAGCTTAACAATTTATAAGCTTTTCACTTAGAAGAGTTTGCACTGAGTTTTTACCTTGGAATAATCAAGAAACCACTTTGGCTTGAACCATCCCTTATGACCCAGTGGACTCTTGACTAGTCACAGAGCTAACCGGATAGCATAGTGCCTAGGAAACAGTATTGTTTGACTGGGAATCCTTTAACTACATCCTCATAATTTTATATAGCTTATAAAGCAAGGCATATTCTACTCTGTTTTCCATGGGGTCCTCTATTGGTTGTTTCACATGCTTCAATATTTAACCACTAATCCGTTAAATGAGGATTTGTGGAAAACTGCAAAGAAAATGGCTGAGTGGAGCCCCAAACAAAACCATACAGAATAATGTAGAAGCAGAAGTAGTACCATGCAAGAAGAAAGGGCTGCAGTTAAGCACCATATTGATGTAGTGTGACGGGGGACGGTTTTGTTACTGGGAACATTAAAGAGAAGTGTCTAGGAAATTATAGAGATCTGCAGTAGCATCAGGGGGGCCCAGATACATGCACCTTATAAGCTTAGTGAAAACATTTGCATCCCATTGTACATTGCTTTTGCTTGTATTACTTCTTAAAAATATCAGTTTGAATTTTTTTCTATTTTGTATTGCTTGATAAATTCACCCATTCCACAACTCTAGTAGCAATCAAATACCTCCAGTCAGTGCTGTGTAATTTTGCTCTGGATGTATTCCTTGGACCTCTTTAGTCCTTGGGTTTTGGTTTTTTTTTTTTCATCTATCTACCCAGTTTTTCTTTAAATGCCCCACCATTTCTAAAGCAGCAAAACTTCATAGTTATTATATTCCAAACAGACCCAGAATTACAAGGGGTACAAAGATCTATGTTTTCCTGGGCCATTTCCATGAAACAGTATTAACAATTACATTTCATGACCCAGTTGGGCATAAAGATAACTATCTTAATATTGTGTTTTAAATAAGTTTCTCTGACCCAAAAGTTCATTTTCTTTTTACTTCTGATTTTAGAGGAAATTAGAACATTTTCATGAGTACCTTAAAGTATTATTTTCAAGCATATATCTGGAGTATGAATGCTGTACATAAACACAAAGTTCAAGGTCATGGTCAACATCTGACCACGGTGCATACCCCACAGGCAGGCAGAGGAAGCAGAGGGCACTTGCCCAGGACTCTGGGCAGCCTCTGATGCTGACTGGGGAGGAAAGACTGTGCTTTCCAGGCCTGAGGACTCTCTCCTTCAAATCAATGGCAAGAACTTTAGTGAGATGCTTTAAAAACCCAATGTACCTTTAAAATGGTGAATACTGTTAGTCACATTGTTTAATGTTTACTCACATTCAGTCTTTTTACACCTGAAACTGGAAGCTAAGGTTGGAATTAGATATGTTAGCTTGTTTTTCTTTCCTCCTAAGATGGTTTTTTTTTACATGTAAGAATTATTAGTTCAACATGAAAGAAAAAAACCTTGACTGTTTCAAACTCATGGTGAAGCATCTGTATTTTTCCTTGTTTTTTGTGCTGGGCTTCAGGACCCTCTACCTAAGGTTCCCAGAGGTCCTGATGTCCCCTACAATCTCTGGTCTTGACCCTCCACGGATCCTGATGTGGGGAGCTGCCACCAGTGCAGAGAAAAGGGCATTTCCACCCATTTCCTCTTTTATCTTTCCAGGGCCTGGACTTCGCCAGATTCACGGCACACATGTTTGTTGGGATTTGCCTTGTTCTTCTGGTCTCATTCCCACTCCTCAGACTGCTGTACTGGAACAAAAAGCTTTATAACAAGGAGCCCAGTGAGATCGTTGGTAGGTATAAGCCTCAGAGTTCATATGATCATTTTTCCCCGGGGAAATTCTTACAAAGAGGTCAGAGCTGCCACCCCATGTAAAACATGAGGGAAGTGTCTCTTGTTGGGACCCTGTGTGCTCAAGATCAGAGACTGTGCATATCTGCCTCCCGGAATGCAGTGTGCTCCCTTCTCCTGCGCAGAATCTCTCTCAGCTAAATCACTTCAGAATTCCTGTTTAATTCCACAGTTAGAAAACAAAAGTGCTACCTGAACATCGATGATGGGCTGAGCAGAATAGGGCCGGTAGAGCTTTGGATTTGATGGGTTGGAAAGTAGGTAGGCTCTGAGTGTGCATGGATGGGGTTGAGGCTGCTTTTGGAGGACACACCTGCATAAGAGAGCCCAGGGGACCTAGAAGCCCAGCATCACCAGTGCAACGCTGGCTTCCAGTCTCTGCTTCTCCAAATACAAAGACATGGATGAAACTCCCAGCCTGCATCCATGGGCTGCCTCCAGAGTGGAACCATGTAGACATGCAAGCTTTTCAAAGCTGATTAGTGGCTTCAGAAAGTACCCTTCACTGTGATGACTTTAAAGAGCGGCTGGCATGTCTCTGACGTTTATGGACGGGTTTTTAATGATACCTTTCATCTGATGAGGTTCAGAGCATTAGATGAAACCCAGGCCCCATCTGAACTTACGCTGAAGCCATTCCACAGCCCCGTCTCTCCTTTCCTATCCCAATGTGGAGTTTCGTGTTCAAAGTTTCGGGAAGGCTCGTTCATTACTTTCTCTTCCTCCTATTCTTCCCCATCTTTTTATGTTATCAAAACCTCCTAGGAGGTTTGATGAGGTGTGAGGCTTTTCAGAGGGAAAGCATGAATCCGCTTCTCTGAAGAAGCCTTTGAATTACACCCAAGTTCATTTTAGTTTAGAAAGCTGTGGTGCATCTTTGTAAGGCTGAAACTCAAAACCCGAGCGCTGGCTGATGTTGTCTCAGTGCTCCTGTTCTCCCTGGGTCTCTCTATGGAGTCTTGGCAGCCTTTATTTATAGTCTGTTTCTCTGACAAACGTCTCTGTTTTCTCAGCAGTGCAGCAGGTCTGCCACACGGTAGGTGATCAGCACTTGTGTACCAAATAGAGGGGGCGTAAAAGGTAGCGTTTTCTTTATTGGTTGAGTTCACAGTGATTGTACTGCTGTGTCTTGCCTCCACCTGGAGCAGGCTGTCAGGTGCTCCAGCCCCTGCTTAAAGGCTTTGGTCTTTTAATTTAATTCTTGTGACGTATATCGTATGGTGCATTGCACATAATGTAGTTTGGATCTGGAATTATCCCCTGAGGTCCCTGTGTTGAAGACATAGTCCCTAGGGAGGCACTATTGGGATGGAGTGGAACCTTTAGGAGGTGGGACTAGCTGGAGGGAGTTAGGTCCCTGGGGACGTGGCCTTGAAGTGGATGTTGGGATCTGCACGTCTTCCTCTCTCTGTCTGCTTCCTGGCTGCCATGAGGTGAGCAGCTTCCTCTACCATACACTCCTGCTGTGATGTGCTGCTTCACTCTGTACCCCAAAGCAGTGCCAATTGACTATAGACTGAAACCTCTCAAACTCTGAGTCAAAATAAACCTTTTCTCCTTTTAAGTTATTAATCTCAGCTATTTTGTTTTAGTGACAGAAAATTGACAGAGTGGTGAATGAAAACAGTGGCTTTTTCTTATTCTCTTAGTGATTATTTTGAGAATTTTGTATAGAATTTTAAATTGTAAAATAGAGGTAAGCTTTCATGAAGTTCTTTCATATCTTAGGCAATGAATCATCTCTCTTTACTCTTCTCTCTCAGAAGCTTCTGAATTCAGTTTTGGATGAAAATTCTGCTCATTCTCTTGCTGTCAGTGTTTCATCAGGCTACTTCTCCCCTTCCTGGGTAACAGACTTGCGCTCAGTGAGGGACTGGTTGGGAGTGAGGGCTTTTCCCAACTCCTGACTCTTCCCAAATGTCCTGCTGGCCCTGAAAGCCACTGCCTGAGAACAACCCTTGTGCTTCTGATTTTCACTAGACCTGTTTCTGAAGTCAGCCAAAGAGTGGGCGCTTGGCTTTGTTCATTTTCTGTTACTGTTACTGAATACTACAGACTGGACAAGCTCTAAGGCAGAGAGTTCTTGTTAGCTTATTGTCCAGGAGGCTGGGAAGTCTGAAGCACAACCTGACATCTGGTGAAGGCCTTCTCGCCGCATCATCACATGGCAGAGGGCATCGCCTGGTGCATGAATTTTGGAGGAGACAAACCACATTCAAATCAGAACAGCAATGTATAGGTTTTGGCTAAAAGTGAGACCTGCAAGAAGAGGTTAGAGTTGCTGGGCATTAGGTTTGATGTGTCTGTTCAAGACAGGAATTTATTTGTCACCAGAGAGTTGAAATTGCTCTACTTCACTTCCATGGTCATTTTTAAAAGTCAGCTTTGTCACCTGGTTTCATTGTAGTAACTAATGTGCTGAGAAGCTTCTGTTTTGGGCTGAGCCTGGGAAACCTGAACATGGTGAGTGTGTTGTGAGCACTGACATCCCAGGTTGTGGGGAACTCAATTTTGCCTTACTTTCTCTGCAGAACTGAAGCACGAGATTCATGTGTGGCGCCTGACAGCGCAGCGCATCAGCCCAGCCAGCCGTGAGGAGACGGCCGTGCGTGGCCTGCTGCTGCGGAAGGTGCTGGCACTGGAGCACCTGCTGGCCCGAAGGCTGCACACCTTCAATAGGTATCAAATTGGGTCCTGATCAGATTTACAGAAGCAGTTCTTGTGTTTAATGGTGGGATTGTATGAGCAACATACTCCGCTACCATCCAAACAGTGTCCAAATGTCACATAAAATGCAAATCAAGTGAATTAAAATTGTTACTCCAAACATTTGTAGCATTATAAACTGGTGACACTAACTGAGCCAATATGCAACTTTTAGGCGCCATTCATTGAGCTAAGCCTTTTATGGTGCACAACTTTATCTAATTCCCACCTAGCTCTGTGGGGTTATTGTTAGCTCAGTTAAGGGATGAAATAAGCAGAGGCTCAGAGAATTTGGGCAACTTACCTATGGTTATGTAGCTCAGAAAGAGTGACACTGGAAATTGAATTTACACTCTCAGCCACATTTTATAATTTCCCCACATTTTAATTTTTGTATGATAAGAATCAAAACCAATTAATGTAACAAACTAATGTTACAACAGATTCTCTCAGCAGTTGATTTTCAAGCACTTCAAAGAATACAAATATCCTAATCAATTCATTTCTTGGTATTTCTTAGAATTATTTATTTATATTTTTATTTTTAGTGCATTATAATTATACATAATAGTGGGGTTCATCTTGACATATTCATAAATGCATATAACATAGTTTTCTCCATTTCAATCCCCAGAATTATCCTTCCTCTCTTCTTTATTCTATTGGTCTTCCTTCTATTTATGTTTTAATTGGTGCATTATAATTTTATATAAAATTGCAATGCATGGTGATATATTCATATGTATGCATGACATATTTTGATTAACTTTATTCTGCTTTGAAATGATCAAACCCCCACCACTCAATACTTTCTGTCAGCCAACGAAGAGACAGAGCTCAGCCTATAAACTACTCTAACAAGTTGGGCTGGTTTGGGTCAGAGCTCAGAACAAATAAATAGTATAATAATTGTGTCATATACACTCCTCATATTCAAAATTATGGAAAGAAATGTCTTCATTTTAAAAGTCTCAGCAAGAAGAAAACTGACTTTTAAAATATATTGTGATTGCATTAGCTGCTATAGATAGTAATTTTTTAAATATATATTTCAATTGTTGACATTTATTTATTTATTTATATGTGGTGCTGAGAATTGAACCCAGTGCCTCCCATATGTTAGGCAAGCACTCTACCACTGAGCTACAACCCCAGCCCTGTATGTAGTAATTTTCAGTGTCTTCCCTCATGTGTTTTTTCAGAGTTCTAATTTTACACTTTTTTTGGTCAATTAATTGGATCCTTCCTCAATAATTTATTCTTTTTCATCTTCATTCCCTTTCATTCTCCTCTATCCTTCTTTCTCATCTCATTTTATCTTCTATCTCTCTTCCCTCCTCACCCCCCCTTTTTCTGTTTTATATTTCCTTTATCTTTTTTTTTTTGCCTGCTTCCAACATAACTTACTATAAAGGATGTTATCATTGATGCTTAACCTTCTAGCCTATTCTTTATTATTTCTCATTCACTTTCCTCATTGATTAGTAGAGTTGTGGAGATGATTAGTAATAAGTTTTCAAATATATGCTATTAAGTTATCATTATGACTGGCTGTTGCTTTATCCTCTTGAAGTAGTACTGGGTGTTGAACTTAGCACCTTGATTATGCCAATTGGATGTTTTGAAAATAATATAAACTCCCAGCTCAGGGTAGATTGTAAAGAAGTAACTGCTCACTAAAAGACACTTACATAATAGAAAAATAGGAATCTATGACAATGGATGTACATATAAAAAAATTTTTTTAAAACACAAAGAACTAAACCCATAAGATGTCTCCAAAAATTTTTAACCCCCCAAACTACAGATTGAAATGGATGAAATCTTGAACAAAGCATTCAAAAAATTGATTATGAAAATGATTAATGATTTTAAACAATCTAAGGAATGAATTAAGGGAGAAAATATAGGCTGTGAAAAAGCATTTTAATAAAGAGATAGAGGTCCTGAGAAAGAAGCAAACAAAAGTCCTGGAAATGAAAGATTCAATAAATCAAATGAAAAATTCAGTTGAAAAAATTTCTAGATTAGATTAGACCAAAATAAAGCAGAATTTCAGAGCTTGAAGGCAAGATGGTCAGCCTTGAACATTTAGACAATATTAAAGAAAAAAAGGAAAGAAAACTATGATCAGAATAGATAAGATATCTGGGTCAATATGGAGAGACCAAACTAAAGACTCATAGACTTTGAGAAAGAAGTAGAAATACAGGTTAATAATATTGAAATAATAGCAAAAATTTTCCAAGCCTTAGGAAGAAGATGGACATCTAAAAATTGTAGGCATTTAAAACCTCAGACAAGATCAGAAAAGAACCTCTCCATGACACATTATCATTAAAATGCCAATACTACAAATCAAAGAAAGGATTTTAAAGGCTATAGGAGAGAGATGACTGGTCAAATTTAGAGGAAAAAGAATCAAAGTAATACAAGATTTCTCAGTATAAACCCTAAAGTTCAAGAGGACTTGGAATGATACATTTCAAGCATTGAAAATCAGTAACTCCCAACTAAGATTGCTATATCTATTAAAGCTATTCTTCAAAATCAAATAAGAAATAAAATCTTCCAGTGTGAGTGTAAACTAAGGAATTCATGACTACTAAGCCAGCATTGCAGAAGATACTTAAAGAAATCCAACATACAGAAATATAAGATAATAACAACAAAGACAGCTTGGAAAAGAATAAATCTAATTAAAAGAGTATATAAGCAGATTAAAATTATGATTTAATAAAACATTAGAAATAAATCAAGGTAGCAGACAATAATAAACACCTCTCTAATAACACTGAAGTTAATGGTCTTGATACTATAACTAAAAGATATGTACTGTAGAGTGGATTAAAAAACAAGATCCAAAAATATGTTGTCTGTAAGAGACAAACTCATAGGAAAAACACCCACAGGTTGCAAGTGAAAAGATGAAAAATGATATTCTATGCAAATGGAACCCCAAAGGAAAGCAGGAGTATGTACTCTCATATCCAACAAAACAGACTTCAAGCCAAAATGAGTTACAGAGGACAAAGAAGGTCACAACATACTGCTAGAGGGAATGATACAACATGGAGACATAAAGATAGCAAATATTCATGATCCAAACTTCAGTACATCTAACTACATAAAAAACACTACTAAATATAAAGTCTCAGATAGATCCCAATACAATTATACTGGGTGATTTCAATACTCCTCTCTCACCAGTAGATAGGTCATCCAGTTATAAAATCAGCAACAATACTTCAGATCTAAAACATGCTGTAAATCCAAAGGACTTAACAGACATCTACAGAATATTTCATCCAACAATAGGTGAATATACTATCTTCTTAGCTGCTTGTGGATCATATTTTAGGTTACAAAGCAAATCTTAGCAAATGCGAAAAGTCAGTATAACTCCTTGAATTTTATTAGATCATAATGGAATAAAACTAGAAATGAAGAAAAACAAGAAAATTAGAAAGCAAGAAAAATTACAGAAACTTTATTAGTACGCAGAGATTGAACAATACACTTTTTAATAATGAATGGGTCAGCAAAGAAATCAGGGAAGAAATGTAAAAATTCTTAGAATAAAATGAGAATAAAGATACAACATATCAGAATCTCCTGGATGCCGTGAATGCAGTTAAAGAGGAAAGTTTATAGCTATGAGTGCCTAGATTAAAAAAAGAAAAGAAAAAAGATACCCAATAAATAACCCAATGATGCACCTCTAACACATAGAAAAACAAGGAAAAAATGAATTCCAAAACTTTTGGAAGGGAGGAAACAATAAATATCAAAGCCAAAGTTAGTGAAGTAAACAAAAAAACAATACAAAGAATCAATGAATGAAGAGTTGATTCTTTGAAAAGATAAACAAGATTGATAAGACCTTAGTCAAACTAACCAAAAGAAAAGGGAAAAAGGAGAGATCACAACAGAAATCTATGAAATCCAAAGGACACTAGGGACTATTTTGAAAACGTATATTCCAACAAATTGGGAAATCTGGAAGATATTGATAAATTTCTAGACACCTATTAGCTACCGAAACTGAACAAAGAGGACACAGAAAACCTAAAGAGATGGATAACACATAATACAGTTAAAACAGTAATAAAAACCATTCCAATAAAAAAAAAAATCCCAGGTCCAGGTTGATTCACAGCTGAATTAAATGGGCAAATGAACTAAAGAGATGTTTCTCAAAACAAGTAGTACAAATGGCTAACAAATTCATGAAAAAATGTTCAACATCTCAAGCAATTAGGGAAATGCAAATCAAAACTACACTGAGATTTCATCTCACTCCAGTCAGAATGGCTGGAATCAGGAATACTAATAATATACAAATAATAATAAACACTAGTGAAAATGTGGGTAAAAGAATGCTTATACACTGTTGGTGGGATTGTCAATTGGTATAACCACTGTGGAAATCAGTTGGAGGTTCCTCAAAAGAGTAGGAATGGAACCACTGCATGACACTGCTATCCCCCTCCTTGGTCTTTATCTAAAATAATTAAAGTCAGCAAACCATAGTGTTACATGCACACACATGTTCATAGCAGTACAATTCATAGTAGCCAAGTTATGGAACTAGCCTAGGTGTCTGTCAATGGATGAATGATAAAGAAAATGTGGCATATATACACCATTTATTTAGCTATAAAGAGTAATGAAATTATGTTATTTGCAAGAAAATGAATGGATGCTTCAGAGCATTATCTTAAGTAAAATAAGCCAGACTCAGAATATTAAGGGCCATGTATTTTCTCTCTTATGTGGAAGCTAGACAAGAAGGGGGGGGAAGGGTCTCATGAAAATAGAAGGAAGACCAAGTAGACTAGAAAAAGGGACTTAGGGAGAAGGCTGGGGAACTGGCAAATGAAATTGACCAAATCATGATATATATATTAGATCATAATGAATCCTACTAATGTGCATAATTATTATGCACCAATGAAAATATTTCAAAGCTTTTCTCAGAATAATTCACTTGCTTCTGCTTTGGTTTCCCTGCAGACCCTACTGGCTGCATGCTCAGCCTCTCTTTAGTGCTCACTTGTGATGTGTACATGCTCAGTAAAGTGACATTCTCCACTGTGCAGCATCTTCCCTTTGATTGGTGTCAGAAAAGAATAACCAAAAAAAAAAAAAGGGAAACTGAGTTGGAAAAGTTAAAAGGAAAGATAAGTGGGTACAAACAAGGGAGCCTCAACAAGAGAGGAGGGTACCATGAGAGAAGGAAGGAAGCAGGCATACAATTACTTCAAAACTGAGCTACTGTTGGTAAAATTACCACTAAACCAAGTGCTGTTTCTTTGATCTCTTTTCCCTTTAGTTGTAAAAGCTGGTTGTAAACATACTGTGTCCCTGTTTTGGAAATGGAAACCATTCAGAAGCAGAGAAACTAGTGGACTGCAGGTTCCACATCTCTGCATCCAACCAACAACTAATTGAAAGCATTTGAAAAGAAAAATCATGACTCTACTGCACATGTACAGAGTGTTTTTCCTTGTTATCATTATTCCTTAAAGAATATAGTAAATAATTATTTACATTGTATTAGGTATAAGTAATCTAGAGATGATTTAAAGTATATGGGAGGATTGTAGCTAAGTTAAATGCAAATACGACACTGTTTTATAGGGACTTGAGCACCCCTGGGTTTTATTACTCTTAGGTGGGGTCTTAGAATCAATCTCTTGGGGATACTGGGGGTTGACTACACATAAAGAAGAAAATAAAGGTGGGTACAGTCATTGCCTTGGTCACACGTTGGCACATGTTGTTCACGACATTTCCTACACTGGCTGTCTCACATTCACATGTCATTAAACACTCACATCATGGTATATATGATTTTTCTTTGAAAATATAGAGTGAGTTTCTTTCCTAATTGACAAATCAAGTGTTTCGGTCACTTCCATGACTAGTCTTATTGCTCAGAAAGCTGTTCCAGGCTCCATAGCAAATGTCCAGGCTCCCAGTGTGGTCAATCTCCTTGTTCCATATAACCAGGGAAATCATAAGCCTGTCCTTTTCTCTTTTAGACAAATCTCACAGGAAGACAAAAACTGGGAGACCAATATTCAGGAGCTTCAAAAAAAGGTATCTCCTTTGCTTTCTTCAGATATTTCCAATTTGATTTACCTGTTTGTAGAAGAAAGTGATTGATGTTTCTTTTAAAAATTGATCATTATTTTAAATTTTTAATTGATACATTCTAATAGTAGGAGGTTGTGAGGTCCAATGTGATGTCTGGACACCTGTGCACATTGTGTAGTGACGGAGTCAGAGTCATTAACTTATTCATCACCTCAGGCAGTTATCGTTTTTTTGTGGGGAAACGTTCCAAAATCTTCTTTTTACCTCACATGAAGAAATGACTGGAAGCCATTGTTCTTTTTATTCCTGCACTTATACGTAAGATGTCATTTATTTCTACAAGTTAATGAGGAAAAATATTTTCCAGACATGACAGGAAATGGAAATGTCACAGTTTTTATTGTCTGGGAAGATGTACTTCAGGCATACCCTTGAGCAATATCCTGAGTCTGGCCCACTGAGCTGGGCCTGCGGCTCACAGTCCCTCTCCTGGCCCTGAAAAGCAGGCTTCCAGATTGCCATTTTGCAGAGAGGAGCTGGCAGCCGAGACCATGTTGGGCAATATTGAACATCTTTAAGAACAAACACTGGATGTGTGTGTGTGTGTGTGTGTGTGTGTGTGTGTGTGTGTGTGTGTGTGTGTCCTGCTGTACAAGTTTGACTTCTGGGGGCAGAATTCATTTAAAAATATTTTGGGGGCTGGGGTTGTGGCTCATGATAGAGTGCTTGCCTTGCACATGTCAGGTACTGGGTTCAATCCTCAGCATCACAAAATAAATAAATAAATAAAATAATGATATTGTGTCCATCCACAACTAAAAATAAAAGAATCTAAAACAATAATTTTGTTTTGCTCACTTTCCTGCTATGGTGGACTTCCTCCCCACCTGTGGACAGGTAGGGCTCCCTGCCAAGCCAAGAGTGTTCACAATCACTGTACCTCAGGGAAATTTCCAATCCAAGCAGGTTGTTTTCTAGGAAGAGGTTGGGTGCCCACTCTCTAATTGTGATAAGAATACTTGTGCTTAGTTAAAAGGATACTAGACATTGGGGTTCTGCTGGGTAGTGTATTCTTTAGGCAATTTGGTCCGTGGGCTCTCTTCACATTCTCTTTTCCATGTAGATGGTTAGTGTTAGAAAAGAAGGGTGTAGCTATGACCCTTTGAGTACCCAGGGTTTTAAGACCTTGCTGCCTTGCTGCATTGCTTTTGTCCTGTGTACCTGGTGGACAAGAATTGAAGATTGATGGGAAAAGAGGCCAGGGGCTTGGCAATATCCCTGTATTGCAAATGAGAATTCTTACTGAAATAATCCCAGATAGCCAAAAGGAGATTGACACCCAGCAGAACACTCAAAAGAAACCTCCACCTCCACCATCTGAATGACACGGGAACATTCTTTGAACGTGCTGCTCCTCCATCTCCCATCTTTGAATGGGCTGTGGTAGTACTAACTTTCTCTGGTTAGTGTGACTCAGGGAGGCTTTGTGGTGCCTCTCTGAAGCTGGTGAGGACCAGTGTTGCTCTCCTCTGAGTAATTTCTTTTTCTGATATCCCCTACCTCCTAATTCTTGATCACAGAGTCATGTAGCAAAATTGGGCTTCTTAGAAGTGGGAGGGGAAGATGAGAGGAGTAGGACATGATGTGGGCCTTTGCAGTGGGCAGGGGAAGAGGGCAGGTGCTCAGCAGGCAGTCTCACCTCCTGAGTGAGGGCAGCACCTCTGGCCTGTGTCCAGGGGACCAAGGGCTGCTGCCAGAGATGCTGTCCATGAAGGGTATGCTTGTGTTTTTGATGACAGCAGCTTTACCTGTGACCAGAGAAATTCAAAATCCTCTATCTCTACTTCTACCTCTTTCTCTATATATCTTCCTGTCTATATATATCTATATCTACATGTCTATATATATCAGAATCTATATTTATATGTCTATCTAATCTATCTATATCTATCCATATTTATAGATCTCTGTGCTTATCTATTTCTATATGTCTATATCTATCTGTATCTAAATCTAGATATAGACATCTAAAACTATATCTATAAATATGTTGATATCCATAATCAGAGATGCCTACAGTTGGCCCTCTTTATCTGTGGGTTCTACATTTGTAGATTGAACCAAATCAAGATTGTAGGTATTTGAAAAGTATTGTGTCTGTATTAAACATGTACAGAATTCCCCCCCAATCATTAGCCCCTAAACAATACAGTATAACAACTATTTACATAACATTTATATTGTGTTAGGTTTTACAATTAATCTAGAGATGGTTTAAAGTATGTGGAAGAGTGTGTGAAGGTTTGGTGCACATAAAGGACTTGAGCACTGGAGATTTTGGTATCTCTGGGTCCTGAAACCCATCGCTCATGGATATCAAGGGATGCCTATAAATCTGTATAAATCCAGATGTATGTTAGACAGCTGTACAGATGTGCTGGGCCATTCTTAAGAGAGGACCCTGTGTGGTTGTCAGTTCACACCTGGTTTCACACAAGGGACTGGGTTAGCAGTACAGGCTGACCTGGTGCCCACCTCACATGCTCCTCATTCCTGACCCCACAAAGCCATGGCCCATATAACTCAATACCTCTCAGGGATCATAGGAAAGAGCACCCCAACTGCCTTATGGCTCTGAGGTTAATGAAGTCACTACCGAGAACTGTGTGCTATAAACCCCTGGAAGACAGGGCAGATCCCTCAGGTGTCATCCCACTGATAAGGGGCGACACCTGGATTCCACAGACCTTGTAAGTGTTACATGAATGAGCACAGCAAAGCCGTATGCAGGAGTTATAGTATTTCAAGAACATGTTAAGCTTATTGCCATGAGCTTTGAATAAAAAAAAAAAAAGAAAGTCAAGCTAAAACACAGGGACCACACAGGCATCTGTGGAAATGTATTTGATAGGGCAAGGTCCCTGGAGATTAGCTGTCATTTCCCCAGTGGCTTTCTGTTGTCTCACCCAACACCTGGGTGGATACTTCTAATGACTGAATACTCACATTATATTAAAAATCTAGGTAGTCCAGTGTTTGGTAAAAAGACTATACTGCAGATTGGTCATGCTTATTTTTCCACAAAGATTTTGAATGCTGTAATCCAGAATCTTTTCAGTTCTTCCTGTAACACGTTGCCTTGTTATCTTCTTTCAAGTTCAAGATGTTTTATTTTTTCATCAGGAGACATTTGGAGTAATTCAAGTCACGCAGGATCATGGACACATTTCAGGAATCAGAAGATTGTACCAAGTAAATGAGTTGTGTTTTTCTCTCTCACAGCACAGGATCTCAGACAGGATTCTGCTTGTCAAATGCCTGATGGTGCTGGGATTTGTTATCTTTATGTTCTTTCTCAATTCATTTGTCCCTGGTATTCATCTTGATCTTGGTGAGTCTAATTTTTTTTTTTTTGCAAACTTTTATTGATAGGCTTTTCAATGGATATCGTGGTCTGAGTGGGAAGGTGTCAAAGCATGTTCCCAGGTACCTACAAGCGGTTGTGGTAGTGAGGACGCCAGCCTTAACACTAGAAGGGATGTAGAGTTGTTACTGTCCTTTCTATCACACGTGGTAACCACATGTTGAAACAGTCCCCAGAGGAGACAGGAAAGCCAGTCCTGCCTTCCCTGCAGCTTGTCATGACAATTAAATAGGAAACTGTTTGTTAAAGTCCTGGAGAATTGCAAGAGCCTTGCACAGATTCACTTTCCTTGTCGGACTGAGAATCTGTTTTACCCACGCAGCAAAACACATTTTCCCACTTCCTCCCTTTGTTTCTCTTTCCTCCTTTTGGCCAGACTTTAGTTCTTAGCCGACTCTTTCTCCAGCCCTATGTCAAGGTCGGGGCCTTCTCCATGGGTGCCAGGATTCTTTCAGATTGGTCTTACCTGGGTAACTCCCAGAACCCCTCCATTTTCCATGAACTTTTTTATACAGATCTCTTTTGGTGCAATTATTTTTTTTTTAAAAAAACATCATTTTCATGGCAGTATAGATTTATGAAAATATAAATTTAAGACGATGTCAGGGAGTGTTTTTAAATCAAAGCTTTACCCATGGTTTTCCTTCAGAAATGAGCTCTGCTAGTATATTTGAGTCATTATTATTTTTATCTTAATTCTTTAAAAATAAGAACTTAATCTTCTGCAACTTTTAAAGAATGTTACCGCGGTAGGAGGCAAAGCTTGCTAACTGTAAAATAGATGGTTAATGCAACTTTAATGTCATGGTTTGGATGACATTAAAGTCATCCGCAAAACTCACCTGTGAGACAAGAAGGTTCAGAGGAGAAATGATTGGGTTGTGAGAATCAACCCAATCAGTGAGTTAATGCCCTGAAAGTGATTAACTGAGTGGTAACTGAAGTGGCAGGGTGTGGCTGGAGGAGGTGGGAATTGGGGCGTGGCTTTGCGTGTATTTATGTTTCTGGCTAGTGGAGTCTCTCTGCTTCTTGATGATGTGAGCTGCTTCCCCCCCCCCACCCCACCATACTCTCCTGCCATGATGTCCTGCCTCATCCTAAACCTCAAGGAATGGAGCTGGCCTTCTAAGGACTAAGACCTCTGAAACCGTGAGCCCTCAAATAAACTTTTCCTCCTCTACAATTGTTCTGGTTGGGTCTTTTAGTCACAACCGCAAAAAAGCTGACTAAAACATTTAGTTATTCCTGTCACATCATTGCTTCTTGGGCTCCTGGGTACACTAGAAATCTTTAGGTTGTAAGTGGGTTTCCCCTGTTTTCTGTAAAAGAGCCATGTTCAGACTCTCAGACTTAGCACATGGTGCACATGCATTTGGCTCAGTGTCCAGCTTTACATCACGTGTCCACGAGCCCTTGGAATTGATTTCCCTACATAAACTCAGACCCAACTTGTCAGGTGGCCTGGGCTTGGTTCCGAGCCCACAGGTGTTCTTTGTCCACACCCGACAGCTGATCCACACAGGGTCTCAATGAGGTCATGAAGAATGCCAAAGCTAGGGTGGGAACAGTGTCATGAATTTCAGTTGTTTTTTTTTTGATGAATTTTATCTAGAAATTGTTTCAGTGTAATTACTTTTAATTATACCCAAGGCATAATATAATTTTGACTTTATAAACCTTTAATTGCCACAAGAATGTTAAGTGGTCACCACTGGTAATTAAACAAATACAATGAAACTGGTGTGTCCAGAGCAGAGGAGTTCCATTAGTGAATTCTTTTGGGTGTTCACAGATTATTTTGTTTCTAATTTTACTTGAGATTCTTCTTGAAATGAGCACAGCAGGCATTTGAAAAATAAAAGTATATGAAAACTTACATGCAATTTTGTTAGCTTTTGACAATAGTCTTTGTACACAGGATAATACTTTTAAAGTTTAAAATTGCATCTTTAAATATAAAGATCTCACTTGAAAAAAAATCTTGATTAATGTGAAACTTTTCTTTTTACTCTGGGAAATTCACCCTTTTTACAAAGATATCTCCACTCTTTTTGTGTGGTTAAAGTCTGTGATTGAGAGAATTATTTCTTTTTGCTTTTAAATCTAGTTTTGTTTTCAGTTAGAGTTTATGTATAATTTTATCTGGGGATCCTGGGATACATAATCCATGTATTTACTTCTTTATTATGATAGTTAGGTTGAGAAAGAGAGAAGTTTGACATATGTTTTAACAGAGTATAATTTCCTTAGAGTGATAGCAACTCTCCTGATAAAGATAGGGGCAAAAGAGATGCCAGATATTCCCAGGATTTCAGCCAGTAAAGAATGTGATCATTTATCTTTGGTGAAGTTCTGTTTTGAATGTGACCTGCTTTGTGAATTGAGCATGATGCAATGTAATGTGATGTTGTTACAGGAGGTGACATCCTGTTACACTAAGTGCCATACAACAAGGTGATGTTATGTGACTATCATTGTGCAAATCAGTATAGCACATATAAGACAACAGTATATAGCATAAAGCAATGTCATAGAGCATGATGTGTATCACATGATGTGTTATGTGACCTAAGACAAAGTGATGCTGTACCACACAATGTGTATCATGCAACACAATACAGCATCCTCTAGTACAGTGCTTTCCACATTGCACAATGCAATATTGTGAAATGCCATGCATGTAATCCAAAGTGACATCCTATACACAGGTGCACTATGTAGCAAAATGTGACATCATAGAACACATGCATTCCTTCATTTAGGAATCATAATGTAAGCACAACTTTGACTCTTAATTTTTAATTCTTAAAAAATTGTTGTAAAGCAAAATCAACTTTTCCTCTGGTGTAAAGTTCTATTAATTTTGACACTTATGTAGATTTTTATAACAACAAATGCCATCAGGAGACAGTGACCAGAAAACCTTCCCCAGGCTCTCCTTTTGTAGTCACTCCCTGTGCCTCATCCCATCTGCAAAGGATCTGCTCTCTATCACTGTAGTTTGTCCTGAGAACATGCACATGGAATCAGATTGTATACAAACTTTGAGACTGGCTTCTCCCACCTGGCTTAATGCCTGTCAGATTTAGCCAAGCTCTGTACATCAACGGTTTGCTCCTTATGTAGCTGAGTGGTGGTTCATGGTAAGCAAGTACCAGGGTTTAGGTATCTATTCACCCACTGAGGGACATTTGGGATGTTTTCAGTTTTTAGCAATTGTGAATAGAGCTGATGCAGACATATGAACTCACAGTTTTGTGTGAACTTGCTTTTACATTCTCTTGGGTAACTATCTGGGAGTGAGAATGCTGGGTCATTTGGTGGGTGTATGTTTAACTTTGTTGGGAATTGTTTCCAGAGTGGCACCTGGCTTTGCCTTCCCACAGGAATGAATGGGAGTTCCAGTGGCTCCACACCTCCACTTGGTACAATTGAACTCACTCCCCTGGAGTTCCACAGCATATATACCTGCCTTATACATGGAGCCTATCTGTTATCCTAGTGATGAATTTACTTCTCTGTCCCCTGAGCTCCTGCTCTCCAATGAAACTTGAGGATGTGGTCCATATCTTGTTTATTTTCCTCTTCTCAGTGCCTTGGGTTAATGTCTAACACACCAGTGTCTACAAGGGAACATTTATAGAATGCATGAACAAAAATCTCTCATTGAGTCTAATAGATTCAACTTCATTATTGTGAGAATTAACTATGTGGATGACTCAGCCTAGGTACTTCAGACAGTAGAGGACAAGATAGAGGCTGATGTGCGAGATTTCTCGCTGGGAAATCTGATCCCAGGGAAGAGAGCTAAGGAGTAGGGAGACAGATTAGCAAAGGGAGTAAGCCATCAGGAGCCACTGGTTTCTCCATCTCATCAGATTGAGAAGAAGTATAAAAAGGTACCCCAGGACTATATAGGGTTGAAGGAGAAAGGACTATTACTCATTGGTCCCCATTGCCCAGTGGTCAAAGTTCCTCCCCACAAGGTGCCAATTTGCAGATACACTCAAATGGCATGTTCTGTGGGCTTGGCAGCAGCCCCAGCAGAGAAGCATCAGCCAGGAGGGAGGTGTTGGTACTTGGACTCCAGAGAAGACCCTGTTAGTGTTCACAGTGTGAGGATGGTGGGGTCCACACAGAGCCAGTCACACAGACTTTGTGTGAGAAACAGGAGAGCCCTTAGGGACCCAAAGGCAGGCCAGAGGTTCACAACAGAGAGATGTGAATCTGGACCATGGCTACAATTCACATCTACATGGCAAAGGAGTCCCATGTGTAGGAATCATCACCTCATAAAACAGGTTCTTCCACAAAGGTCCACTGTCCCTATATGAAACCCTTGGTGCCAGAAATGTTTCGAAATTAAAATATTTTGTTTATGTTTTAGAAATACAATTCAATGCACATACTGAATTGTATATAGGGTGAGCATCATTGTTCAGAAAATCTGAAATGCTTCAAAGTCAGAAAAGTTTTCAGTATTGACACAATGCCACAAGTGGAAAATTCTACTCCTGACCTCACGTGAAGGGTGGCAGTCAAAGTGCAGGTGCGCTCAAATTAGTGTTTAAAATGATCTTTAGATTCTGTGCATAAGAAGGATATAAACCAAATTTCATTAGACTCGGGTTCCATCCATAAGATATCTAATTATATATAATGTAAATATTCCCAAATTGAAAAAAATTCCAAATCTGAAACATTTGGTCCCAGCATTTTGGGTAAGGGATTCTCAACTTCATGTAATACCTCCTGAGACATTTAGGGCTGGCACCTGTCATCCAAGCATTAACGCTTCTGTAAAAAAAAAACAAACAAACAAAAAACCAAAAACTTGAATATTTACACAAAGTGTGATAAAGACCATAAATAGCTTTGTTTTGGTTCAAGTCAGGTTGTGTTGAATTTTGGTGGAAAAGTTTGAAGAATTTCTGCTTTTCTGAACTTTAGGATTTCAGAGTTATGGT